TTTTTTTTTTGCAAGGACCCAGGGGTTAGGCCCAAACTTGGTCGGAACATGGTCAACATACCCCTATTAAACACGAGTAATATCAAAAACATCCGCTGCGTACCCCAAGAAGTTTGATATTATCAAGCTTTGCCTTGGGTGGGAATCAATTTTACGAATTTATAATGGTAATTCAATTACTTTTCTCCGGAGCTTCTCATATATCGTGACATGTGGCAAGTAGTTGTCGTCCAAACTGAACAAACAGTCAAACCTCAAATCGAATGATTAAATTCTACGATTACTGCGTTATTTTATAACTATGGTTTGTTGACAATTGAAATTAACAATAAAAATTAATAAAACCGATTGATACATGAAACGGGGAATTTTTTTGTTGCGGCCAATCTATTTATAGTTTGAGTGTTCTTGATAGGTTTGCAATAACGTGGTACGGAAAATAATTCTAGAATTTTCGTTCTGAATCTATTTTAAATGTGTTAACAATAATCTATTGTATATACTGTATTAACTATTGATTTCTTGTTACAAATATACTGTATAAAAATTTTTATAATTATTTACAAAAATTATCAAAATAAACAGTGTTGTCAAAACGATGCTCCATTGGTAATTGTCACATTCTTTTGTCATATTATTTATTATATAATATAAATTATATCATATAATAAATAATATAATAAAAGCATTATTTTGACAACATTGAAAATAAATAAAATTTATTAGAATCTTTAATTTTTTTTTAAATGTTAAGTAAGGCATTTTTCATAATTTTTATTAATTGAGTAAAAAATTTTTTATTTTATTTTTTTTTTTTTTAGGCAAAGCGCATTACATGCGAGAATTTTATTAATTGCTTAGAATTAATTATATCATTACATGAAAGATCTGACTAATTATTTAGCTAATCTAATCCTAGCACCGCCTATTTTTACCCAAATACCAACTAACACCTCGGGGGTGGGTTCATACTTAGGTTTATGCTATGTCTCCCTACTTGTAAATATAGGGTAAGGAAAATCCTGTCCAATAGTTGAAAAACCTTCCCAGCGGTCTCCTTTTTGGTTTTTATGACCCTACTCTTTCCAGGAATGGGTCGCCAATCCGGATTGCACCAACATCAAGCAGGGTAGTGGAGGTCCAATCGAGTTTCGAAGTCTGTCGATCCAGTCTTGGGTACTAGCTGATTGGGTACGACTTATTCAGGAAGCCAGCCAACCCGAATAGGAAGGTTTGTGCTATGGAGTCTGCCATACCAGAGGGGGTTGTGGGCTTTTATCGGAGTTAGACCAGAAGCCTTTCCTCATGCAACCTTTCCTGCTTCGACCTGTTTTCAGTCCGCGATCGTCAGAAAGACCAGAGATCCCATCTTCATGCAGCCTAACTGAATATGGAAGTGATCCGAATGTCTGGGTACGACATTTGTGGCAATCCGGTAAACCCACAAATGAAGGATAAATTTATGCGTTTTGCCCCCTGTGGGTATTGAACTAGGAACATGCATTTGGAGACCATGGAGCACTACCCACTGTGCTATTGACCCACTGGTCTGTAAAAAATTTTTTATTATATAATTAATGTTTAGATTTTAAAATATATTATTATATATATTAGCCTATTATCATATAGATATATTTTATCAAAAAAAAACTTTTTCCTATTTATTCAAATTCACCTAAAATCTGCAGTAAACAGCCTGGAGTCTGCCTATAGGCCCCTCTTGTTATGAAAAAATGTAATAACAGCATTATCCAAAGCAAGAGTTCATCTGTTTCTATCTATCAGCAGCATTAGATATCCAAAACATAACAAAAACTGAAACAAAAACAGTAGCCAACAATACCTGATACCAGCCAAAGCAAGGCACCCGGCTGGATATCCACAATAGAGGAAGGCATAGATAGCATCTTTGACTGGATGAATGATATCCATATGGATACAGAAGAACTCCAGTAGGTGCCTATCCCACCTACCTTTACAGAGTCAAACAAAGATCCAATGCCTACAGAGCTAGAGAGTAAAGCAGAGGATGTTCCGCCCACTAGCAACCAATCACCCAAACCAGCCAAACAACTGTTTAGCTCACCAATAGATTGGCATATCCAATATGACTGTTTCCACTACAAGACAGCTATATAGGCAGATGACCTAACAGGCATTATAGAGGGTAAACTTAATACTATCAAAGAAACAGTTTCTCACTTTAACTCCTACATAGGCACCCGTGTGGCGCAGCAACAGGTGCCAAAATGATCATTGCTTTATTTGCAAATTAAAAAGATGCACAAAAAGCATATAAAGTAAAATCCAACAGGATAACGATTACTACATGGCTATGCTAACCAATCTAGACCAACAGAAGCCAAAAACAAGTCAATCTGCATCTGGGACATCCCTCTGAGCACCAATAAACAGGAAATTAAACAGAAACTCTTCCAATTTGGACAGATTAAAAATCTCAAAATATATACTGCAGATATGTGGCAAAGCACAATTGTTAAATTTGAAAAACAAGGAAAGTATAACAAAGTCAACTCAAGATGGAATATTTCCTTCCAAGGAGAACTTTTCAGAATATACCTATTCCTAAGAACCAATGAAATCAAACAATCATGGGATAGGTATATTCTGAAACTTGCAAAACTTTTTCCAAACACAACTGGATATGATCTACGTGAAATCTTCAACAAAACCAAAACAGTATTCTGCCATATTCTACACAATCGCAACTATATTTAAAAGAGATTCACCATATTCAATTTTGCATTAGCAGAAGCAAAAAAACTAGTTAAAAACAAAACTATACAACTTGGAGAAATATTTTTCCAATGGTATGAAATGGAAGAAAAACTCTGTGCAATTTGTAGTATAGCAGATCACCTGGCAGCACAATATACAATTAAGGCAAAACATTAGGAAAAACAACAAATGCTTAAAGAAAAAGCAAAAAGATATAGCTCTTTATACCAAAAATTTAAACCAGCAGGCACAACAAATATCAGGAGAATCATATCAAACCAATCCAATAAATCTACCAATCAGGACTGCCAAAAAGCATGGAAACAATTCAACAAAGCCTTCAATAGATTTGTGAACAAGAGAACATTTGCTTAAATAGCCAAGCAATCCTCCAACAAAGGTTCAAACCTCACAGTTAACAATTCAGCAGCAATGATTAATCTTTAGTCATTATTGATAGAAGTTTTCAAAACAGTATAAACAATTGGTGCAGAGCTCAAAGAAATCAAAGAAACCATCAATGACCTTAACAACAGAGTCAACAATCTTGAGGAATTCATCTATTTCTATATGATGGATGATGAGGAACAAATGAAAGCCACGATAGAAATAGGCAAAGAGTATCTGAATCAGAATTCACCTCACACAACTACACCAGAACCAAAAGATTTCAATTACCAATGGAAAAGACAGGCAACAAGCCCCACAGTAGATACATTCAATATCAGAGAACAACAGACCAATCTTAACACATGCATGATCAATATAGATAACATTTTTCAGAATGTAGTTGGCATACTCAACCAACTCATCAACATTATAACAAATATACTCCAACATTCTGCTTTGTATGATGAACAATAAAACAAAAAAAAGAACCACAGATCCCCTTAACACAATATCATTATCAAGCATGATAAAAACAACAAACAATAATACCAATACTATACCTCCACAATAAACAACAACCACATGAAAAATACTAACGCACAATGTAAGAGGCATCAATGATCCCATCAAATGACAAATTTTTTTTACATATTGTGTTCAAAGAGATATTGATATAGTAGTACTTACTGAAACACAAGTACAAAGCACAAACCACAAATTCTGAAAACATTCAAGCTACAATATAATTTGAAGCAACAATAATAAAGGTGCAGGTGTCGTACTGATGATCAAAAAAGAAATAAATAAACATATCAAAAAACAAAAGAATATCCAAGCAAAGGAATAAGCATCGATTTTCAATTCAAAAGAAAAAATCATATTGACATCCTGGGGATCTATATACCTGCATCAGATGGTTCAGAAAAATGTCAAGTCAACAAGTGAATAGAGGAAGAAATTCTAAACAGACATAGCAAAAACTGGAACACAATTATCTTAGGGGACTTCAATTCAATAATTAATCCTCAAATAGATCACAAATCAGCAACCACTAAGAAACATACCTTACAATTGCCCACTTCAATAGTACTCTGTATACTTCAAAACCTAAACTACACTGATTGTTACAGAACACTCAACTCAATCACTCTAGGCTTCACTTGGCAAAACTCCAGAGGCACAACATCCAGACTGAATTACATTTGGCTCTTGAATCAAAACAACTGGTACCCCTGAAAGCGGAAATCCACTCTGCACCACTAATAATAAATAGTGATCATGCAATAGTCCAGGCTATACATGTGGTATAAATTATTTTGCTGTTGACTCAATTGCCAAAATCCTCAAAAATAATTGCGTCTGACTCAATT